CTAATACCCCTTGGGGGAGGGTGTTCTGCTAAGATGCAACCTGTTGTGCCTTACAATGGCTTCTACCGTACTGCCGTAAAATGGCTTCTACAGTGCAGCACAGTAGAGTCACCATGGTAACGGTTTCACAGTACTCCACAAGGGGGCTCCCTCTGGTAAGGGGGAAAATCCATCATTAGAAATTAGGGTGGTATCACCTTTCTTGACGCTTCTGGGGACACAGGGAAAAGATTTGGAACTAATTTGACTATCACTAAGTGTTGCATCTTTTTTATTCTTGATGAATGCATTTTTTTATTCCCCTTATGTACACTGAGAGCATAGGCACCAAAGACAAATTCCTTGTGTCCAATCATACTTGGCCAATAAAGGATTCTATTCTATTCTATTCTATTCTATTCTATTCTATTCATTTCCTATTTCCTATTTCCTATTTCCTATTTCTACTCTACTCTATTCCTGATTCTCTACTCCTATTCTATTCCATTCCTATTCCTACTCTACTCTACTCCTTATTCTCTATTCTATTCCATTCTATTCTATTCCATTTCCTATTTCCTATTCCTACTCTACTCTATTCCTGATTCTCTATTCTATTCCATTCCATTCCATTTCATTCCTATTCCTACTCTACTCTACTCTACTCTACTCCTTATTCTCTCTTCTCTTCTCTTTTATTCCATTTCCTATTCCTACTCTATTCCTTATTCTCTATTCCATTCCATTCCATTCCTGTTCCTACTCTACTCTATTCCTGATTCTCTATTCTATTCTATTCTATTCTATTCCGTATTCTGTTCTCTTCTACCGTACTCTACTCTAATTTAATTGCTGTCGAAATCAAGGCTTTGGATAAATAAAGGATTAGGATAAATAAATATCAGGGCAACGCCGGGTTATCAGTTGGTAAAATATATAATTTGGGCCGGGAAGGCACCAGTGTGAGGTCAGAGACGCACATCAACATAGGTGCGTTATCGATCCCCTTCGATTCATTTCCTGCATTTCCCAACTTGTTGTGTCTCTTTCAGCTTTGGTGCTGGCTGTTTTTTTTTACAATGACCGTTTGTTCTACTGACCTTGGGAAAAATGCGTGTCCAGTTGCAAGGAGAATTTGGGAGAGGGCCTGGATGGGTTCACAGAAGGAGGAGGAGGAGGGGGGTTGGGAAGGCAGAGTAAACAACATGTGACTTGCTTGATGTTGTGGAAGTGTGATCAGGTGGAAGAATGTGGCTCATATGGCATTGGACTCCTGCCCCAGAGAACTTAGAAACTGGGACAAAGTCCAGGATCTCATTCTAGATGGTGACTTACATATGCTTGAACAAAAGGACAAACATTATTAGTAGGAAGAGGAGTAGAATTAGCCTTGCCTCTTCATTCAAGGAATGCGGATAGTCCTCGACTTAAGGCTGTTTCGCTTAAGGATGGGCTCAAACTGAAAGAGCTCACGTTTGAGGAATGCCAATGTAGGTTGAATTTTTATGCTTGTGAAAGTTCTCGTTTGCACCAATGCAAGTTGTAAGCCCTCAACGTACAACACTTTAGAATAGAATAGAATAGAATAGAATAACAGAGTTGGAAGGGACCTTGGAGGTCTTCTAGTCCAACCCCCTGCCTAGACAGGAAATCCTACACCATTTCAGACACATGGTTATCCAACATCTTCCTAAAAACTTCCAGTGTTGGAGCATTCACAACTCCTGGAGGCAAGTTGTCCCACTGGTTAATTGTTCTCAC